TTTTTTTTTCCGTTGGACTTATCTTCATATACCATGGGGTTCCTTCCAGAAATAACCCATTATGGCATGAACAACTTTATCCTTTTTCCTTTATTAGTACATATTTCCAGTAAATAATGATTACACTTATTGTGGGGAGTTGGTACATGCACATAACACAATTTAATTTTCTTTTTCCTCCCCTAATCCTTCACCCCTCTCTGCTCCTTCCAACTTGTGGTCCTCTTACCAATTTACACATGTTCTGTTTCCTTATGTTTTTCCTTCAACTGTTTTTTTCATCTCTCTTCCCTCCTTCTCCATCTCTTGTCCCCCTTCCTACATGAAAAATATCTCCTTACTTCCTAGTATCTATCTTTTATTTTGTTCCTTATTTATATGTTAGGTTTCTCATATAAGAGAAACCATGTGGTATTTGAGCTTGTGTCTGATTTATTTCACTTAACATTAGGGTCTGGAGGTACATCCATTTATCTATGAATGCCTCAAGTTTATATTTCATTATCGTAGAACAGCATTGTTTTATATAAATACCACATTTTCTTTTTAAAATAATGAACTACAAATGTTAAAATGACCAAATTACTTAAGTTGCTTCTAATAGCCAACTTAAGAAGCAACTGGGTCATGATCTCTACAGACACCAAATAGGACCAAATTTCCAAATGACAGTACACATTATCTATAATAGCAGGCAGGAAAGGAGAAAATAGTGGATGCAGGGGAGTCATTTTCATTTGTGCTATAGGAACCTTAACATGTTTGTGTCCTTTTGACTAAAGGTAATTAATACAGTCTTAACTTTTATTCTCACAGTCATTTAAAACAGTTGCTTAGGCATACAGGTTTTACACTACCGGTATTTGAACAAATGTGCGGAGTCATTCTTTTTAAAGAAAAAACAAAGCAATAACACATACCCCTAGGAATTCTTCCTGTTCCTTGACAAGTGGGGCAAGTGACACTATCTCTTCCTGTAAATTCCACATATGGAAACTGAGAGACATCTCCATTTCTTCCGTCTTCATTATGGACTTCATTACTAACCAATCCAGTCCTCATATTTTCAGTTGATGTGACTCCATCATAAGTATCTTCTTTATTTGGATGCAAAGGCAAATGAGAAAGAGACTTTCCCATGTCTAATGAAAAAGGAAAATTTTACAGTAAACTTCAAGGAAAAAGTATATTCAAAAACCCTATAAGATATTTATATCAATCTAATTAACTTAGAACAAACTTCAAGAATGTGTTTAAACTACTTTTGGGATTAAAATTAAATTCAAACAAATACTGTCTGAAAGAAGGATGCAATTTATTAAGAGTCCAGAAGTGCATTTTTCACAAAATATTATGACAGGATATCTTATCAGTCTTATGATGAGAATGGGCTTTCAAATGCTAACATCTGACAAAAGCCTACACCTTCTTCCTGTTTCCTACCAAGAATACAGGCTTCATTTTTGTTAGAATAGAAAAAAAGACACATTATATCTTTAAACTACTTGGCATTAAAGGCCAAAGGTGCTTTGGGTAGATTGCAACTAGATATTACTTGTAATATCAGGTAATTTTAAACTGGTACTTTCCAGTTATCCAAAATTCACATGCTTTTGAGGAAAGTCATCACTTCCATTTTTTGATAGCTTGCTTCAAACATTTCAACATTTGCAGCAAAACCCTCAAAACTGCCAAATCATACAAATTTTTCTTCTGTTCAGTGGCTAGCAATTAAAATTATAAGACAAATATCCCAAAATATAAAATATAATTTACCAGTACAAAGGAGCAAATTTAGAAGATTAACTTAAAACATTGGGAAAACTATAAAAATAACACAGGGGAAGTTAAATATAAATTTAAAAGCCAAGTAAAAATAAGTAATTTGTACTGTCCTGTTTAAAAGAAAACAAAACCTCTGTAGGTAGGTACAGTTTCCAGGCCAAAAAGAATTTAAGTCATGTTATCCAACCTGCTAATATTAAGAAAAAAAAAAAATGAAAGAGGACTCAAATACATTGTAAACAGAAGGACTAAAAAAAAAAAAAAAAGAAAGAGGACTCAAATACATTGTAAACAGAAGGACTAAAAAAAAAAAAAAACTATACTAGTATTCAAACTTAAAATTGTAGAAAGAGGAATAAAACAGTTTTTCACTATGCATTGTTTTAAAAAACTATGTATACATTATCCACATAAGTTCAAAAACATACAAGATTTGTGATATTAAAAAGGCATTATTTTAGCTGGTCCTAGGGCAGTCAATCCAAGCCAAACCCACACTTGTTATCCACAGGTGTTTCTGAGGTGAATGTTAATCATCACCCTCCTCACAAATTGTCATGTGGATCAGAGGACCTCAGCAGCAAGGTCACTGTCCTGGGACGGGAGTCAATACATCAGCGATGGCATGTACACTCTACTTGGAAACCTCAGAGAGAAAAACTCAGAAGGCAACCTAAGGGGCTCTAAGTTCTGGCTGGTTTTCTAGTCTAACAGCTAGCGTAGCTAAGTCTGCTTCAGGTAGATGGGAGATGGGCCAGATTTAGCCAGGTACAGCACTGGGAATATCCAAATTTCCCACTAGATTTTCCTCAGACCACTGACAAGTTCAACTACTTTTATTCTTGAAGCCACATTATTTTTAAAGGAGAAGTGGGAAGGGTAGGGGAAAGGAAATAAGGGAAAATAAAAAAAAAATGAGAAAATGAAAAAATGGAAATAAAGTGTTTCTAAGTAGGTAAGGGAGGGGGTGAAGGGAAGGCAGGGGAATGGGAAAAAAATGAGAATCAAGACCTGTCATATAAAGGTACAAGATCCCAATGATGAATGTAACTGTACTGTAAATCTAAAATGTACCAATAAAGTCAATGAGAAAAAAAAAATAAAAGAATGTCAGATCCCTTTCCCCTTGTGATTTCTTAATTTCCAGAAACATTCTCACATTCTGTAGGAAGAGGGGTATAAACACAGCAACCAACCAATATAAATGGGCCGTGATCCTTCTGTGCAGACACTGGCTTCCTTCGGAAAGCGCTTGAGAAACGAAACCGGCACCTTTCAAAAAGCGCCATAAACAAAATCCAGCAGGCATACCTACTCCGTAAAGGTTAAAAACGAGTTCCCGTCACGTGCAAGAAAATTCAATAACAAAAACAAGCCACAAGGGCTACCCGGCCGCTCAGGGTGTAGGGGCTTCGAAAGGAGCCAGAGCGCTGGGCCCGCACAATAGGGTCGGACGAGAGCAGCCCACGGAACAGCTCCACCCCGGGCCTGGCGCAGCGCCGGCCCCGCTTCCCAGCTCCCCGGCGGCCTCCCCTCCTCCACCTCCTCCCCAGACCCAGGCCCAGTCCTCGGCCCTACTCCGCAGCGGGACCCGGAGGCTGCGCGCCGAGGTCGCTCACCGGCGCTCGGGGCACTTCGCAGTCCCGGACTGCTGCGGCGCTGACAGGCCCCAGCACAGGGTCACGGAGGCCGCGGTCCCGGGAGCGGCGTAGATCGCAGGGAAGCCACAGACTCGGGAAGGGGAGGGGCAGGGCAAAGATGGCATCAGCTGAGCCTGGCCGCCGTCTCAACTGCGCCTGCGCCTTCCCAGAGCGCGAGGGGTGACGGTCTCCCGGGGAGGCTCGTGGCCCGGGTTCGCGGACGCCTGCGCCTAACTCGGGCTGCCTGGGCCCAGAAGCGCGGCCGCGGGCAGTGTGGACTGTCCAGGTTCTGTCATTATCGTGGCCCTAAACCTTAAAGTTTGGCCGCTCTAGTTCTGGGTAGCTTAATAGACACCTCTTACCCCGCCGGGCTGTTTGTTTGTGCCAAACGGGAAAACGTGCTCCCTCTGACTGAGCTTTTCGCTGAGCAGTTTCCTCGCCAGCCTTCTGCGAGTCGTCGCTGACCCCTCCTCCCCGTGAAGGATAAACTGGTTGGTATCCGCTCCTCTGGCAGCCAAAGCGTTCTGTGTATTTTAATTTAGAAAAGCTTGCCCACTAGGAGGAAACCACAAGCGGGCAGGACCCCTGCTTTTGGTTTGGTTTGGTTTTTGTTTTAATTTTATTTCTACACATGCTGTCGTCCTTGCACCTCCATTAATTTATAAGGAGTGTTAGGAGAGACCCCCGTTTAAGTCCCAGTGCTTCATCTCGGCCTTGTGAGTGGGGCTACTGTTCGCCAAGCCTAGGATTTTTCTTTTAGAAAACAGTTATTTCGAAGGTTCACTAAGACACTGTTAGGAACTATCAAGGACAGCTATACTTTGCCTATGGAGAGTTCAGCTCTAAAAGGTAGTATTATAATCACAAATATAAGAATGCTTATAGCAACCAGCCATATTGCAAAGGTGACTTACTTAGAAATTTGCTGTTAAAAATTTTGAAGAGATAAGTAACTTGTAATTATTTGCTCCCTTAATTAATCTGAAGTACCCAACTTATCAGTTATTGATAAATAAATCACAGCCCACCCCCTTTCAGGCTGATTAGGCTATATTAGAAAATTAGAATTTAAGGGGACTAATTTTTTATCTGATTTCAGAGCTAGGTCCCTAGGTAGCAAAACTATTTCCTGTGACCACTTGGCCTCTATTCAACGGTAGTGAACTTGTTCTGTTGGCACAACTTTGTCATTCCTTATCTTTTAAAAGCGATGGCTCATATTAAATTGTACAAATAATTCATCTCTCTGAACCTCTTGATTTTTATGTCTCAGAACTCTTCTTCTGAGGTAGAATTATTTGTATCTCCCAAGTCTAATCTATGTTGTTTCACACCTGCAGAGAACTAATCTTCTCTATTTACTAAAATTTCCTAAATATGAATTTGAAACTAAGTAGTTTCTTTATTTTCACCTTTTATAGAATATTTGACATAATAGTAATTTGTAATGAGAATAGTTGTAAGAGTTTGATGTTTATTGAATAAATATATGATATTGTATCAGGCATTATATGAAATGTTTTACATGATCTCATTTAGTTTTTATAGAAATGCCATAGGTAAAATTCTGTTACTATCTCACATCCTGTTTTCAAATAGAGGATTCAAGGTACTAACTATCACTTGACCATGGCTAGGCACCTAGCAAGAGGTAGAACTAAAACTCAGGTATTGTGATTGTAAAGTCTAGACTGTTAGCCACTGTGACATGAATCTGTGATTATGGCACAATGTGATAGGGGCTGAGATAAGGATTTGTACCAGGATGCATAGAGGAATGTTGTATGATTCTGACTTTGGGATTACAGAAGGCTTTTGGGGAAAAGATATTTGAGGAGTTGTAAGCTGAGTAAAGCCAGAAATGGAGTTGCAGGCACAAAAAGAGCATGCATACAGCAGTGTGCAATAAAAAGCAAATATAGGTTGGAAACTTGAAAGCAAAGTAATCATAAAAGATCTTGTGCTTTAAGTTAGGAAGATGTGACTTGATGCTAATTATTATGGCCATACATGTATTTCAAAAATAATGGTCTAGAATCATTGCATTAATAGGTTAGGTGGAAGGGAAATTGGAAATTGAGAGATCAGAAAAAAAGTATGATGAGAATCCAGGAAAAAAGAAAGGTTGGCTAAAGGACAAAACATAAATACTTAAGAGTAATTGGGAGATAGAATCAGCAAGATTTGCTTATCATTGAATAGTTTCTTTTTAAATTCTTTTTTACTAGTACATGTTTGCATTATATTCCTTCTGGGGAATTGGTAACCGTGCACAACACATCTTAATTCTTTTGTTTTCAGTCCATTTCCCTCCCCTCCCTCTTCCATCTCTTGATCTTCCCATTTGAAAAAGATCTCACTACTTTCTATTATAACCACTATTTCTGTACAAAATGAGCTTGTGGTTCCATGAATAACAAGAATGAAGTTGTGAACCAAAGAAGAAAACCCTGAGAGTTTTATTGGAAATAAAAAGAGAAAACTCGTGCTGCATGTTTATTACAAGGGGATTCTGAACAGAAATCCAAGTGGTGGTCTTTGTCCTGATCTTATATGCATAAGCAGAGCATGGGAAGGGGGCTTGTTTCAAAGGAAATGAGTTCAAAAGAAAACTGGTTATTTGTATTTCTGTTTTCTTCAAGTCTGGTTGAAATTTGAGTCTGGAGATCAGAAGGAGCTGTTGTAGTTCCTAACTAACTTATCATACCCTAGATAGCCTTCTTCTTAAAGGGAAGAGTCTTACCTCTCTGTTTTCATCCTAACCTTTTATATTGTATTTTCTTTTAGTTTTCTAAGCTTATCTAACCAGTGTTGTAATTACTTTTCTGTTGTTGTTGAGACAAAATACCGGGCACCCAAAGTTTAGGGTTAAAAAATTTATTTAGCTCATAGTTTGTAGAGGCTTCAGTCCATAGTAGACTGGCTCCAAGGCAGGGTGGTGTGGCAGACAGGCATCGCAGAGGAGGGCAGAAGATAGCAACACCATAAAGGACAAGCACAGTTCTTTCTATCCCTTATATTTTAATTCAGGCAGTTTAGGGCAGATAACAGTCACACCCTTTATCCTAGTGCCTTGATCTAACATTGCACCTAGAAGTAACCCCAGCGTTTACACACTCTAGATCCAGCCACTTCTGAAAAAGCTCCACCTCTGATTGCATGAGGCTTTGAGGGAACATCTATACACAAGCTGTAACAACTGGCTACTTAATTAAATGGCTGATTAAATTACCTCTTTTTCATACTTTTCTCATTAGGCTGTTTTAACTGGCTACTTATAATAACTAAACTACTACATCATCCTCATCATTGTCACCTGCCCCCGCCATGTGCTCTGAAGAAGTGGTCCTTAACTATCATTAGGGGAGAAGGGATTAAGACCACTCTGGCTGCTTCAATCTGAGAAGGATGCAGTTTGGAATTAAGCAGCTATGGTCACTCTTGAGAGGGTCCATCTAGCAGACCTTGGTAAAGGCATCTGGCGCATTGGTTATTGGTTCCACCTACAAGACCATCTGGAGTTGGACAGATTCTAACCAAGAAGAAACAAATTTTACTAAGAGAGTAGGAATGCACAGAACAAGCATAAGGACCAGAATGAAAAGACAAATGGGTATGATTAGAGGAAGGAACGAGGTCCAGGCACTATCCTTAAGGGATTGGAGTAGGAATTGGACCTGCTGGGTCCTAATAGATCTGCCTGCTTACAGAGGTAACCTGTAAGTCTGATGCTTACTTTTATGGTTTTAGGGTCTTCCTCCATCAGATATGAGCTATTTATTCAAAGACAACAAATTTCATTTACTAGTCTGCAGTTCCCCCAAGTTTCCACCATAAGAAAATTGAAGGCTTTGCAGTTTTGAAGAACTATTTCAACTAAGGAATTTAAGACTTGCTTAGATTCTATATCTTCTACTGTGAGTTTCAACCTTGTTGAACTGAAATAGTAAGGTTTAGGAATGATCTTTCTAATAGGGTGCTTGCAAAGCAAAAGAATCTGGCAATTGCATGTCCTGTATCTGGTCTCTATAGTGTGGTGTTATTAAGTGCATATCTGCCCCAATCACATTTTTCCAGTCCTTTGTAAGAGAGCATATTAGATGTCTCCTTTATTCTGTGATTACAGAAACCATTTTTAAGAAGGACCCTAAGTTGAGGATCTGGATTTAATACCTTAATCTTCGGAATAGCTGCAACTACAGTAAAGGCACCTTTCCATTTATAGCGTAGCACTAGGTATAAGTCTGTCCTACATAAGAAATAGAGTCCAGTTTCCTCAAGGGAGAGGCCCGCGCATTTCCAGGGGATAGAATGCTTCATTTGCTGCCAATTTCTCAAAGCAACATACTGTATACCAGAACAATCATAGAGTTCTTTTGATAACCACAATTGGTCTCTGTAAATATTTCCATGGGACAAATCCATTGAAGTAAAGTGTTTGCAAACACAGTGGTTAGGGTTCTAAGAACAAACTGAGCATTGGAAAAGCTTTGAAAGAATATTTCCTAGGTGAGAGGCATAGAGGGACTGGTTGCAAATACCTGAGTTTTGACATTCCTGGTATATGGCATCTAAGAAAGGAAAAATTAAAATAGCACCTAAGCATTTGTTAGGTAACCATGCAGTTAGTTAATCCCTGGCAATCAGTGTTTAAGACCCTGAACTCCTTCCATTATCTTTTTAATTACCAAGGTTGCCCTATATCGGGGCCAGTGCAGAGATCCCCCGTCAGCCCTTCCTTGAAAGTTTATATTTTCTTTCTGGTACAGGCAAGTACTATCAATAATATAAAGTAATGTTACAGAATTTAGGTAATAACCATCCTACCTAAGAGGATCTTTTATGTGATTGCAGAGGGAAGCAATCAACTCAACTGCTTGTCCCACTCTAATTTTTGTTTTATCTCCAAGGGAACCCCGTGTGGATTTGTTATACTGTGAAAGAATAAAAATTGATGCTAAGTCCCATCGACAATAGCAATATGTTCCAGAGACAGAGGCAAAGCTACTAACATTATGTCAGGGTCAACTGTCCCTTGTGGGCATATCCAGCAATTAAAATAAGTTGCTTGCAGTGCAATAAAAGAGATGGCTGGAGGTAGGGGATGTTGATAGGCACCAGATTGGTTGAAATGGGTGAGGAGGAGAAGGGGTGGAGTATAAGAGAGAAGGTAGTGCCTCTCATAATTGGAGATCCCTTCACACTTCAATAATTTTACCCTTTTGGGAACACACATACTAAGTTATCAAAAAAGGGATAAAATGAAAATTCTGAAGAACAGGACTAGACAGAACAGGAGTTAAACCACTTTATGTATTATCTCCTATCTCCGTAGGGCCTTCCTGATGATATTTTCTTGAAAAGTTTTATGCCCTCTAATTAATCTGTTTCCTCAGTTTCCAGTGGTACAGCTGGGTTCCAAGGCTTAAATTGGGATTAGTATATCTAGGACTCAATTCCAGTTACCTTTGCAGTGAATAGAATGAACAG